TTCAACCACTTCAAGAGGTAGCATATGATCAAGAACTGATGGTATTGAAGAAAGAAGTCCAATCTTCACTGAAGACGCTGGACAAAAACAAGGCTCCAGGAATAGATAGAAAACAAATTGAAATGTTTCAACAAACTGATGCAACACTGGAAGCACTCATTCACCAATGCCAAGAAATTTGGTAGACAGCTACCTGGCCAACCAACTGTAAGAGATCCATATTTGTGCCCATTCCAAAGAAAGTTGGCCAAATAGAATGCAAAAATCCTCAAACAATATTGTTAGCATATCACATGAATGCAAAAGTCCCTGAAGAAGGACAAAATTTAACATATCACATGAAAATAATTATAAAATGTTGCAGCAAAACATCAACAGGGAGCTTCCAGAGATTCAAGCTGATTTCAGAAGAGGACACGGAAAAAGGGATCTAATTGCTGATGTCAGATGAATCTTGGCTGAAAGCTGAGAATAGTAGAAAGATGTTTACTTGTGCTTTATTGACTATGAAAAGGCATTCGGCTCTGTGGACCATAATAAATTTTGCAGAATATTGCAAAGAATGGGAATTCCAGAACACTTAATTGTGCTCAAGAGAAACCTATACACAAACTAAGAGGCAGCCATTAGAGTAAAACAAAGGGATACGGAATGGTTTAAAATCAGAAAAGGTGTGTATCATGGTTGTATCCTTTCATCATACTTATTCAATCTGTATTTTGAGCAAATAATCTGAGAATCTCGATTATATGAAGAAGAATGTGGCATCAAGATTGGAGGAAGACTCATTAACATCTGTTCTTGAGATGGTCTCAAATTCAGAGGGGATATATTCAAGATAGTGTAGTGGTTACGAATCGGGCTGCTAATCTCATGGTCAGCAATTTGAAACTACCAGCTGGTCCACAGGAGAAAGATGAGGCTTTCTGCTCCCAGAAAGATTTACAGCCTCAGAAACCCTGTACAGGGTCGCTATGAGTCAGAACCGACAACAACAACAACATTCAAGGTCATATTTTGGCTCTGTGCAGATGATATAGCCTTGCTTGCTGGAAGCAGAGAAGACTTGAAATATTTACTGATGAAGATCAAAAGTTACATCCTTCAGTATGGGTCACACCTCAATGTAAAGAAAATGAAAATTCTCACAATTAGACCAATAAATAATATCATGATAAATGGAGAAAGGAGTAAAGTTGCCAAAGTTTACTTGAATTTTGCTTGAATCCACAATCAATGCTCATGGAAGCACCAGTCAAGAAATCAAACGATGCATTGTATTAGGCAAATCTGCTGCTAAAGATCTCTTAGAAGTGGTAAAGAGCAAAGATGTCACCTAGAGGACTAAGGAGCGCCTGACCCAAGTCATGGTATTTCAACCACCTCCTATGCATGGGAAAGTTGGACTATGAATAAGGAAGACCAAAGAAGAATCGATGCATTTAAATTACAGTGTTGGTGAAGAATATTGGAAATACCATGGACAGCCAGGAGGACAAACAAATCAAAGAGCAATCTGAATTCTCCTTAGAAGCCAAGATGAGGAGACTTCATCTCGTGCACTTTGGATATGTTGTCAAGAAGTACCAGTCCCTGAAGAAGGACACTATGCTCAATAAAGTGGAGTCAGCAAAAAAGAAGACCCTCAACAAGATAGATTGATAGCATGGCAGCAACGATGTGTTCAAACATAACAATTGTGAAATGGCGCTGGACCCGACAGTATTTCGTACTGTTATGTGAAAGGTTGCTATGAGTGGGAACCAAGTGGACAGCACCCAAGAACAATACAGTGAGACTATGAAGATACAAAGTAATCACTACTGCTCCGTAACAGTGGATCTCAAACTGTTTTCTGAGACACATGGATGGATGGTGTTCTTACACAGACATTCTCCCATCATCTAAGCAATTCCCATCCACTGGCTGTCATGTCTCCTCTTCTTCCACTGCTGGGAGGCAAGTCATAGTAAGTAACATGACTGAAGGGATCACATATCTATTCAAATATATGTTCTAAGTAAATAATTTATAAACTTTAGTTATAGATGTGCTGCACCTCACAATGATCAGACCACACGCTAAAGTTGATGAGAGCTGGACCAGAGGAGCAGTTCGTGTCATTGATCAACAGAAGAATAAAGGTCAACCTGGAGCAAAAGAAGAGAGGTAGGGAGTCCCTGTGTGGTGCAAAGGGTTAGTGTGCTCAGCTGCCAACTGAAAGGTTGGAGGTCTGAGGTCTGAATCATTGAAAACTTTATAGAGTAGAATCCAGACTTTCTGGAGTCATGGATGGCAAATGAACCCCCAAAATTATTGCCCTGAGATCATCTTTAAAACTTAAACCAAAAATATTCCCTGAAATCATTTTAAACCAATCGATATTTAGGTTAACTAGTAAAGAATGTCTACTTTTAGCATTGTCCTCTGTTAAGATCCGTCTATTTGGGATCAAACTGATGACAGAGACTCAAAACTTAGGGAACAGTGATTTGGTGTTAATGCGGAGAACGATCTCAGAAAACAAGGGTGAGAATGATTGCAAAAACTTGAAGAATGTCATCAATACCACTGAGAGTACATGTATGTTTCACTGTGTGCATTCTCAAGAACAACAGTAAAGGTATAATACATCATTAAAGAAGAAGCCCCTTGGAGTACATCTCTACTCTGAGCCACAGGAATCCCCATGAGGTGGAACTGATTCAGAGCAACTAGAAAGAGATGGGAGGGGAGGCCTAAGAGGAAGTGACTCAGGGCAGGAATCTGAGAAGAAGAAAGAGAATGGAATTACAAGAGGAGGAAAAAGCATGTTCCCAGGATAAAGGGAGAGAAAGAGTAGAAGGAGCAGCCAGAGCAGGAGGAAGAGGAAGAATGGGAGGGGCAGTAAGGCAAGAGCAGGAGGGCCCTGGATACTGGGAAGTGTGGAAGCTGTGTGGACTTGGTGGACAAATTTGAATATTACGCTGCAGAAAACAGCCAAAGGGACTTAGTTTATGCATAGGTGAGCCAGGAAGGGTTCTGCAGCAGAGCACATTCCCAGGTGGACACAATATCAAAGTAGACTTTTTGGAGTATCCATGACCATGTCTGCATGCTGAGTTGGAGGTTTTCCATGAAATTTTATAGAACTCTATAGGGTTGTGAGGTGTTAGAATCAACTCAACAGCACACAACAACAACATAGGAGTCAGTGCAAATCCTGGTCTGTCACTTACTAGCTGTGTGATCTTAAAGAGTTCTCTTAACTTCTATGTGCCTCAGTTCTCTCATCTGTAAAATGGGTTCAATAATTTCTACATTATATGATTGTTGTGAGGATTAAAGGAGATGCAGTGGATCAAAGGTGCCTAGGGGAGGATGTGGCATATAGCAATGCTCAATGTTAGAAAGAGTTCAGAGTAAATCAATGTCCTCACAAATGTCCACACATATCCGGAGTTCACATATGGCTCACTCTGTGGTCAATGTCCTTTGCCCTGTGCAATAGTGTCTGCTCAGGGACATTTCTCCATCTTCTCTGACATCAACAGAGCTTCAGGCTCCAATCTAGAGGAACTGGACATTTTCAAGAACAGGGATAATGCCACGTGCCGGCACTCCTGGCTCCTACTGGATCTTGGGCGTCCAGGTCCACAGATGAGCACGTTGACCCTTAGCAGAAACACTAGCCAATTCCTTTTCCCCTTTCTTCAGCTTTACCTGTGGTCTCCACTCCACCCACTAAGATATCTCTTTGGATTTTGCCATCATCTTCATCCAAGGCCAGCCAGCGGTTGAGAGGGAAATCATATTTTCTTTGGTTTCCAATATCTTCAATGACAATCTGAGAAGGGGAAGACAGAAAGAAATGTTGCTGAGTGTCATTGAAGGCACCCCTGGGGATTCTTGATAAAAGAAAAAAACGAGTCTGCCAAGGTGTTCTCAAGAATGCCCAAGAGAAAGGACCTCTGATTTTCCATGAAAGCTTCACTAAGTAAAAAGTATCTGTTGTTGTTGTTAGGTGCCATTGCACCCATTCCAACTCATTGTGACCCTATGCACAATAGAACAAAACACTGCCCAGACCTGCACCATCTTCACAATTGTTGTTAGGTTTGAGACCATCGTTGCTGCCACTGTGCCAATTCATCTTCTTGGGGATCTTCCTCTTTTTCATTGAGCCTCCACTTTATCAAGCATGATATCCATCTTCAGGGACAGATCCCTCTGATAGCACATCCAAAGAAAGAGAGATGAGGTCTCACCAACCTTAAAAGGTTGCACCTCTTCCAAGACAGATTTATTTGTTCTTATAGCAGTCAATTGTACTTTCAATATTATTCGCCAACACCATAATTCAAATGCATCAATTCTTCTATGGTCTTCTTTATTTATTGTCCAACTTTCCCATGCATATGAGGCCATTGAAAATACCACAGATTGGGTCAAACACACCTTAGTACTCAAAGTGACATCTTTGCTCTTTCACATTTTAAAGAGGTCTTTTGCAGCAGATTTGCCTAATGCAGTGTCATTTGATTTCTTGACTGCTGCTTCCATGAGTGTTGATTGTGGATCCAAGCAAAATAAATGAATCTTTGACAACTTTAATCTTTTCTGTATTTATTGTGATATTATTTACTGGTCCAGTTGTGAGGATTTTTTTTTTTTGTACATTGAGATGAAATCCATGCTGAAGGCTGTAGCCTTTGATCTTCATCAGTAAGTATTTTAGGTCTTCTTAACTTTCAGCAAGCAAGGTTGCATCCTCTGCATATCACAAATTGTTAATAAATTCTCCAATCCTGATGCCATGCTTTCCCTCATATAATCCCATATTAAGCAACACCATGATAAATGGAGGAAAGACTGAAGTTGTCAAGGATTTCATTTTACTTGGATCCACAATCAATGCCCATGGAAACAGCAATCAAGAAATCAAACAATGAATTGCATTGTGTAAATCTGCTGCAAAAGACCTCCTTAAAGAGTTAAAAAGCAAAGCTATCACTTTGAGGACTAAGGTGTACCTGTCCCATGCCAAGATACTTTCAATCCCCTCATATGCATGTGAAAACTGAAAACCCAATAAGGAAGACTGAAGAAGAATGGATGCCTTTAAATTATGCTGCTGGTGAATAATGTTAAACATACCATGGACTGCTAGTACAAAGAACAAATCTGTCTTGGAAAAAGTATAGTCAGAATGCTCCTTAGAAGTAAGGAGGTCAAGACTCAGTCTCACATACTTTGGAAATATGAGGAGGGACAAATTTCTGGAGAAGAACATCATCCTTGGTCAAATAGAAGGTTAGCAAAAAAAAAAAAAGAGGAAGATCTCAGTGAGATGAATTGGCACAGTGGCTACTACAGCAAAGGGCTCAAAGAGCAATGATGTGAGGGTGGCTGAGGCACGGGCAGTGTTTTCTTCTATTGTACGTAGGGTCAATATGAATCTGTCTCAACAGCACCTAACAACAACAGTAACAGGTTGGGGTGAGCGAACTGGCCATTCTAGGCAGGTGGCATAATAGAGAAAGTCTTTTGGCTGTAAGGAGGGCAACATAATTGCCCAAGGGTCTGAGATAGAAGGCAGAGAGTCCTGGGGAGAGAAGTTGGAGCTGAAACATACAGTCTGCAGAATTAGATTACTCTCTTCCAGGCCACAGGAACCACAGACAGGCAGCTAAACCCACCTTAGACAGGAACCAGCCTGCAGACCCTCCCCTGTTGTTGTGGCCAATGTTGATCTTCATCAACTGCCCCAAATCTGGGGCATCCAGTATGAACTTATCTTCAGCTCCCTTTTCAAAGGTGTCCTTTTCATTTTCCAGCCTACGCTCCCCTGTACATACAGACACACAAGAAAATGACAAAGTACATAGAGGAGGTAAGAACCAACACCAAGTCTTATTGCACCCCAACCACTGATAATGCCAGGAACTAGGTTAATGGTTCTGTAGTCATGTAGCTTAAAAACCTCAAGCTCTAGGGCACCAAGGCTCCTCTCCTGAGTCTGTGTTGTTGTCCTGCAAGATCTTTCTGGGATGCACAAGAATGCGACAGCCACCAAGGCCCTGCCCACATGCTACTGCTCCTGTTTCTGTGAGTTTCCCCTCTGATAAAGGCTGTTTCCAATTATTGTAGCTGTGCAAATGGCTTAAGTACTCACTTACTGGCCAAAAGGTTTGTGGCTCAAACATACCCTGAAGCTCCTCAGAAGACAAGCCTGGATTGTTCATAGCCTTAAAAACTCTACAGAACAACTATACTCTGCACACATGGGATCACCATGAGCTGGAATTGACTCAACAGCAATTAACAACAACAATTCATTGTTGTTAGGTGCTGCAGAGCCAGTTCTGACTCAGAGCAACCCCATGTATTACAGAACGTTGCCCATCCTGAAACTAGTACTTATGTCTGAGCCCATTGCTACAGGCATTGTCAGTCCACCTCATGGAGGGTCTTTCTCTTTCTCACTGACCTGTTATTTTACTAAACACAATGCTCTTCTCCAGGGATTGATCCCTTCTGACTCCATGATGAAAGTCAAAGAAACCATCTCACTAGTCTCAATTCTAAGGAGCATTTTGGCTATAACTCTACCGAGGAAGATTTGCCTGTTTTTCTGGCAGTCCATCGTATTGTCAATATTCTTCACCAAAACTATAACTCAAATGTGGCAATTCTTCTTTGGTCTTCATTTTTTGTTGTCCAGCTTTCAAATGTATAGGAAACTATTGGAAACATCATGGCAGTAGTAGTAGTAGTTGTTGTTGTTGTTGTTGTTGTTGTTGTTGTTTGGTGCCATTGAGTCCGTTTTGACACATAGCAACCCTTTGCAGAACAGAATGAAACACTGTCTATTGTGAAACATTCTCACAATAGTTGTATTTGAACCCATTGTTGTTGCCACGGTGTCAACCCCTCTTGTTACGGGTCTTCCTCTTTTTTGTTGCCCCTCTACTTTACCAACCATAGTAGGGACTGATCCTTCCTGACAACATGTCCAAAGTAAGAAAGATGAAGTTTTGCCATCCTGGATTCTAAGGAGCATTCTGACTTTACTTCTTCTAAGACAGATTTGTTTGTTCTTCTGGCAGTCCATGGTACTTTCAATATTTTTCATAACACCATAGTTCAAATGCATTGTTATTTGTTATTCATTGTCCAGCATTCACATGCATATGAGGTGCTTGACAATACCATGTCTTGTGTCAGGCACACCCTAGTCCTCAAAGTGATATCTTCACTCTTTAACACTTTTAAAAGGTCTTTTGCAGAAGATTTCCCTAACACAAGACATTTTGGCTGCTGCTTCCTTGAACTTTGAATATGGATCATGTGTGTTATATAATGTGTGTTACCAGATTACTCACATGATCATTTCTTTCCCAATCAGTTAATTATTTAAAAGTATGCTTTCTAATTTTAAATGGGTAAAGGAAGTATGGAATTTCTCCTAATATTATTGGCTAATGCTTAAAAACATTATATGTTATTGATTCATTTGAGCTTTTTAAAATTGCTTTGTGGTCTTGTATGCAGTCAATTTTTATTAACTTTCCACAGTATGCTTGAAAACAGTGCATTTTCTCTGACAGCTGGATGTAGGAATCTACATACTTTCATTTGATCAAACTTATTAACTATGTAATTAAAATCTTCTCCTTCTGTATTAATTTTTTATCCATTTGACCAATTATTGAAAACGTTGCATTAAAATCTTCTACTATTATTATGTATTTATCAAGTGTTTCCTAAGAATTCTGTTAATTTTTGCTTCAAAAATCATGGTGCTTTATTGTTAAATGTATACAAATTCAGAATGGTTATATCTTCAATGGTAATTGTCATTACTTTTGTCATTTTATAATGTATTTTTATTTCTAATGAAGTTTTTTTGGCTTAAAGTTTAATTTGACAGAGAGTCATATTGTTATACCAGCTTCTTTCTTATTGTTTGAATTTTCCTGGTGTACTTTATTACAGCCTATTTATTACTGGGCATTTGTGTCATACTTTAAGCTGGGTTTTCTTTTCATTTAATGTAATAACATCTATATTTTAACCAATGAGTTTTGCTTATTTCTATTTATTGTGATTCTTGACATATTAGGATTGATTTCTTTTATCTTACTTTTTACTATTTGCCATGACTTTTCTGTAATTCCTCATTTCCTGCCTTTTACGGGATGCATTCTTTTTCTTCTTTATTCCTTTTTATTCCTCTGCTGGCTTAGAAGTCAAACAGTTCTAATTTGAGTGGTTATTTTTACAATTTTAATATGTATAATTGACTTACTGAAGTCTAAAATGAATAAATATTTGTACACTCCTGGAGTGTGTGTTGACGCAAACTCTTATGGTCCTTGGGTTGGGACCAAGGACACTAAAATGCTTTAACTCTCAGAGTCCACTTTCCTTTTCAAAGATTATTGCTGTCTAGTGCTTAATGACCATTTTTGCTTGTGTCTTGAAATTGGTTATCAATATTACTTTTGCATAGTCTTTTTTTCTTATAAGATCAGGAATGCATTTTTAATTCTTTAATGCATAATAGAGTTACATGCCTAGGGAACTTCTCTATCCTAAGGGGGGGGGGGGGGAGAAAGAAATACATTGTGTACAAAATTCATAGGTGTCTGTAGCTTTTCTGACTCCTGTGTTAGTCTACTAAATTGGCAGAAAGTAGAGAAAAACACCTTTGTCAATTCTCCTGGCCTGAACGTACTCCCAATACCTGCAGCTGGGTCTATAGCCTTAATTCCTGCTGTGCTTACAAGATCAAATCTAGTTCCATCCCTAGCCCCATTCCAAAACACTGCAATGAATTGGGCCATGTTCAACCACTTCTCAAAATATAACTCAAAAGGGCATAGAGCTGAGGAGAGGAGCAGAGTAAATGAGAACAAGTCCCCTAGGGATGCAGAGGCTGGATCTGTTCATATTCTAATCAAGCCCCCAACCAAATGTATACAAATATACATTTTTAACATAAAATGGGTACCCTGATGCCCATGATGGCCATGCCAAACCACATCAAAGAAGAGGAGAGATGCTCATCAGAGGAGTCCACAGGGGTCCCCAAGCTGTCTTCCTCCTCATCTTCAGTTACTTTCATCAAGCTCTACATAGTCTTTCCTTTTCTGTTGCCCTTTTTGGGTCCAAAACTCTTGACTTTTTCATGAGCCTGAGACCATTACCAGACCTGATCACCTCTGAATGGATTGAAGATAGCAGCTCTTCTAAGAAGCAGTCCTGGTTATGGCTGGTGGGCAAAGAGTTTCAAACACATTACCTGTATCTCCATACTCTCCAAAAATATTGATGAAGACGTCAGCATCTGTCCCTGCACCAATGACATCACCAGTGTACACTTTGACTTCATACTTGTTACCTGGGAATGAGGTCACAGAAAGCCTAGTTCATTCCAGTCCTTCAGAAAGAACAATGGATATCCCCAAGGAGCCACCACACAGTCCACCCTGCTTTCCAGAAATGCATGAACTATCATTGCTACAATCAATAAGAGAGCGAGAAACCAGTCACCTGACAGTGGTTCCAAATGGTCATACAGCTAAACTGTATGCACGGCATAAATCACAGGTAGAGGGCACCTTCGTTAATGACATGTTGCCTTTGGATTCTTGAATCAGCCCACACCCAAGGTGCCACCCTGAACCAACCCTTCAGCATGAAGAAAGAGAGAAAGAAAGCCACCATAGGTAGGGAACTATTCCCATGAACTATTGAAATAGCCTCTGAGTTCCCTACAATCCATTCTCTACTTTGCAGCTCCAATATAGAAATTCACTGGGGAAATCGAGTTCTGAAGATGAAATTCACAGTTTTATATGAATTGTCAAGGCCCTAACCAATACAAATACTATTATTGTTGTTCTGACTCATAACAACCCTGTACAGGATTTCTGAGGCTGTAAATCTTTGCAGCAGCAAAAAGCTTCATCTTTCTCCCTCCAAGTGGCTGTTGGACTTGAACTGCTGATCTTATGGTTCAAAGTCCAGTGTTTATCCTAAGAGCCAGCATGCTCCCATGCAAAGACTAGAGGCACTGATAATGACCAGCAAATATATGCTTAGGTGTGATCTCTTTAAAAGACCTACACATACTTCTGTGTCTTTGCTGCATTCATTGAATAGAAATCAATTCTCTGTAACAGCCTTGGCTGTGACCTCCACAGAAGAAGGGGTTCAATGTCAACTAGACATGATGAGCCCTGCCCAAGTCTCCCCATGTGGAACCTACCTTAGGGTGGGAAACAAAGGACAGAGGTTGGTGTGTGTGGTCAGGAAAAGGAGACTTTTCCAGATTTGGGGGAAGATACCAACAACTCCAATGATTTAGGCAATGCTCCTTTCACTTTTTCTTTCCTGAAATGGCTTTCTTTCTCTCTTTCTTTCTTTCTTTCTTTCTTTCTACATAGCAGGATCCTTCTTCCAGCTATCTATGCCCAATATAAGGAGCTCTGGTAGCATAGTAGTTACGATCAGGTTGCTACCCTCAAGGACAACAGTTCAAAATTACCAGCCATTTCATGGGAGAAAGATGAGGCTTTCTGCTTCTGCAAAGATTTACAGCCTCAGAAACCCTATGCAGGGTCGCTGTGAGTCAGAACCGACTCCACAGCACACCACCACTACCACCACCATGCCCAATATGGACTCCTGGTGTGGTGCTGTAGGATCAGCACTGGACTTTGAACCATAAAATCAGCAGTTCAAATGCACCAGCTGCTCCTCAGAACTCCTATACAGGGTTGCTGTAAGTAAGAACCATGACACAGTGGCTGCATCGATAAGATCAAATACAGCAATGATTGTGAAGATGGTCAAGACCAGGCCATGTTTCCTTGTGTTGTACATAGAATTGTTCTAAGTAGGAAGCAACTTGCTGCCACCTAACAACAACAAGGACTCCTGGTGTGGTGCTGTAGGACCAGCACAGCACTTCAAACCACAAGGTCAGAAGTTCAAGCCCACCAGCTACTCTTGGAACCCTTCTGTTGGGTCGCTATGTGAAATTGATAAAAATTAGACTTTGGCACCCACCGTCCCAACCCCTTGCCCACCTCCTTCCTGGAGGTTGGGACCTGTTCTGCAGTGTTAGGTGTCCTGCCTTCAGCTCTCACTTAGCCTGGTTGAGACTGAACAAGGGGCAGAGATGGGAAGACAGGATGGTCAAGTTGAGGAGGGGCTAAGCAAAAGTTCATCCTCCTCTTGAGAAAGTACGGGAGAAACAGGGTCTGGTGATAAATTAAGAGAACTGCTCCCCATGGAACAATTTTCAGTCAAACAATAGATAGATCTGTCAGGGGAATAATAACACTAGTGAGGTACGCACACCTTAGAGTAATCAACCATTATTGTTTGAGACCATAAGGGTAGTGTTTACCCCAGGATAAAGTTTGTTTGTTGCCGTTAAGTGCCGTTGAGTCGGTTCCAGCTCATAGTGACCCTGTACAGGGATTCCAAGAAGCGGCTGGTGAGTTTGAACCGCCAATCTTGTGTTTCAAACGGACCTTCGATCCAGTACTTTATCACACAGCACCATAAAATTTAGAAGTTAGGAAACAAGAAACACAAGGAGCAAGTGGAATAAATGAAGTTACATTGAGGGGCCTGTGATCAGTGAGATGAAACAAAGGGTGTATGAATTATCTAATGTAACACGAATAGTCGACTCTGTAAATTGTCACCCAATTCACAATAAAAAAGGTTAAAAAAAAATGGGGGTAGGGGTACTGCTGGTCAAACCAGCTCTAGATTGGCTTCTGATTTACTCACTTGGTATATTATGTTATGAAATTCTCTCTAGAACGGGTGTCCCTCTGGCCTTTCAGCACAGTGTTGCAAATAGTTAAGCAAATAACTACTAGCTGAAAGGTTGGCAGTTCAAACTCACCCGAAGATATCCTCGAAGACAGGCCTAGTAATCTGCTTCCAAAGGTCACAACTTTCAACAACTTTAGAGGGCAGTACTAGTCTGCACACATGGAATCACCCAGAAGAATCAAGTCAAGGACAACTAAAGCCACCATTAGCCCATGTGGTGCCTTGTGCAAATTAGTAAAAAAAACAATCCTTTCATCTTGACACTTTACTGCCCTCTGTTGGATAACTGTCATAAATTCACAAGTCCACAATGCTTATGACATGGAAGGTGTGTCCTAACATACTGGCCCTTGTGCAGAACTTAAACATCTGGACCCAACAATCTCACCATATAAGCAGTGGCTCAGCATTGGTCCAAACAACATACGATGAGGGATGCAGCCCAGTGATGCCGCTTATCATATGGTGCCTTCCAGAGGCACAAAGAATTGAGCTAAGGTGGGTGGAATTTGTTGTTAGGTGCCATTGAGTCGGATCTGACTCACAGAAACCCTATTCACAGTAGAACAAAAAACTACCCCATCCTGCGCCATCCTCACAATTGTTATGTTTGAGCCCATTGTTGCTGCAACGTATATATATATAGATGGCCTATCTTAAGGCTACAGTCAAGGGCTGTCTGCATCCTTCTTGACCGGCCCAGGGACGTACAAGCCCAGCCTTGCCTGTTCTTCCCTCTGCAGACCCCATGGCAGAGGCACGAGGCTTCTCCCTCCAAACAGGAATCTATCCCCAAAGGCTAGCCGGAAGCTGCCCGTGTGGGTTTCCAGAAAAGGCAGGCACTGGCAGGCCCACTCCTTCCAGTACCGGGTGCACCAGCCGCCCCCACAGCCTCGCCTGCACTCTGTCTGGAACAGTCAGCACACCACAGCGACAGAACACATCTCCAGAGAGCTCCCTAGGCTGTTGCGGGGAGGCACAGCCATGAGGGGGTCGGAGTGAGTCCTAAACCCTGGTGCTGCCTAGCACAGCTGATCTGCTCATCATGTTCCCAGGACAGAAGTGGAGCATATGCCTGTAATTAAGCCCGTCTCACTTAACACATGGAAGGGGACCATCCCACACCCAACATGTTTGAGCCTCCCAGACACTCAAACCTCCCAGCTTTTTTTAGGAAGCAGAGAATCATGAATGAACTAGTGGAAGGCAATTCTCCTTGCTTTCACCCCTTCCTGAATCCAGTCTCATTCAAACCGTGGCTTGGTTTACTTTAGCAGGGGAAGGGTGGGAATGAGGGTTGAAAGGAGAAATGATTAGGTTTGACATATGTACCCCGCCCCCAACTGAATCCCCCATGGCTCACACCCTGGCACCCTTCATTTCCGCTCGCTAAGAGCCAAGACCGTTTACGTGAGATGTCACAGGCGCTGCGGAGGAGGAGAATAAGAATATGGCGAAGAGAGAGATTGGATGGGGCTGCCCTGGGGGTGGGTGAAGAGAGGGAATGTTCTCTCCCAGCCAGGGAAGTTTCCCTAACTACTCAGGCCTTGCAGGGTGACAGAGAGGGGTAGTCAAGCACGTTGCCACTGTTAAGGGTTGATTTATGTCCCTCCAAAAAAACATATTAAAGTCCTTGTTACTGCTGTTGGTGTTAAGTGCCATTGAGTCAGAGACACTGTATGGATTTTCCAAGGAGCGACTGGTGAGTTTGAACTGCTGATCTTGTGGTTCAAACCGAACATGTGGTCCAGTGCTTATTCTACAGTGTTGTTAGGTGGCGTCAAGTTGTTTCCTACTTGTTGTTGTTGTTGTTAGGTGCCATCAAGTCAGTACCAACACATAGCGACCTTATTCACAGCAGAACGAAACACTGCCCGATTCTGGGCCAACCTCACTATTGTTGCCACGCTTGAATCCATGGATGCTGCCACTTGGCCAATTCATCTCATTGGAGGTCTTCCTCTTCTTTTCTGACGCTCCACCTTACCAAACATGACATCCTTCTCCAGTGACTACTCCCTCCTGACAATGTGTCCAAAGTATGACAGACGAAGT